CTCTACTCTCCACCCACCAGAATGCCTCTTTCTATTCTTTTCTTGACTCTCTCCTCTATACCCACTTCCTCCCTGAAGCCTTTGACTTCTATGCATTCTCCCTGTTCTGCAATCAACATCAGGGCTAGAAATACTGCAAGTTATGGTCTCAATTGGAAGTAGTGGGCTGAGCCACCCACAGGGGCCAGGCAGGTAAAGAATGCAAGGAAGCTTTCAGGTGAGCTCTGTGTCTGGAATCAGAGCATGACTCTTTAAAAGCAGCTAACTGACTTTTCTTGGTGGAAATGAAGTGTTAGAGTTGGCAATTTTTTTTCAAGACATGCTAGACATTTGAATATTTATGAAAATAGTTTGTGATTTCCCAATCTTGTCAATTATTTTAAATTTAAATTAACATGACTACTGACAGCTACTGCTGTGGTTGCTTGGTGCTTGTTATCCCAACCCAACCTTCAAACTCCCTGGACCTAGAATCATCAGCGCCCAAGACCTGACACTCGGCCTGCATTTTCCTTCTGTCCTACAGCTGTGGCTCATTTTGTCACAACCAGGCTTCATCTTCTTTCATTCTAGTCCCCTGTGTTTATTCAAAATCTATCTAAACCATCCTTGTTTCTTTCTCTTTTTAAAACAATAAGACATTTGAATTTGTGGCTGACCTGAGCAAGATTCTGACAAAGAGGGTAGAAAAAGAAGATTCTGACTGAGTATGGATGGAATGTTTTCCCGTAGATCACTGTAATAGTTCTGGATTTTAAAGACAGACAGCACGGCAAATCAGTTACACATACCTGGCCTATGTCAAGAGCTGGATTGATACTGTAGCCAACATCCATGACAATGTCTGTTCTGATGTTCTAGTAATAAAAAATAAAAGCAAAAATATTTATTTCAGTGAATACAACTTAGAGAAAGCTGAGAAACTGTTCCTGCCAAGATGGCATGTGTACAGAACTTTCCTTTGGACTACCTTATATTTTAGGACAAAGAAATAACAAAGATTTTTATGATGCCACCAAATTTATTACATGTAATCCCAAAGTTACACAAGCACTCTTAACCAGTTTAAGCACCCTTTTTTTTTTCTTGGAAACAGTAAGAGAGAAAAATATTTACTTGCCTCTGCTTCCAGCTGAGTGATGTAACACACTGAGTGTAGTCCACTATGACAGACACAACATATGACACAGACCACCGCCATGACCCTCATTGTGCAACACTTGTGTCTACCACACAGCTCAGCATCCAGAGTCCAGCGTGGCTGGGCGATATTTACTGAAGCAAAGAGCTTAGGGCGTGTCAACAAAAAGCCTTCCAACTGTCACCTGCTGTTCTTGATATTTCACTTTTGGATGGTAGATATTCATTTTTAGAGGAGAACAGATAGAGAGTAACTGG